AGTGTCACTGGCCCTCATATGTGGGATCCGAACCGGGGCCCTCTGGCATCCCAAGCGAGTTCTTAACCATCGCGCCACTCGGCCGGCCCTGTATTGGACACTTTCAATTGGGCATATTCTTGGAAGTAGGATTATTGCGTTTCTTGGGTATACACTTTTATTTTTTTTTTGCCATGTTGCTTTTTAAAGGAGTCGTACCTGTTTACAGTACCACCAGCACTATTGAAATGTCTACTAGACACCATTGATCATATGGTGTGCCATCATTTTGTGAATTACTAAAGAAAAACTTTTTAGTTAAACTGAACAATATTTTCTTTTTTAGAATTTTTATTTCATACTTATTAAAAAATACCTTTTAGGTGCATGTAGACCTAGATTTTTGTCATATCACTCTTGAATATAAGAAGGAAAAGATAAGCCAGTTAAAATAGGTTATTTCGAAAGGTTCACATTCAGTGTCAATTCTTCTACATAATTTTTTGAGTTAGAGTGGTCTGTATATTTCCACACTATACATCAAGGATATTGGTGATAGCGAAAAATACTAATAACTTGATTAAAAAGTGGGCTAAGGGGCCGACCGAGTGGCGCATTGGTTAAGAGCTGGCTTGGGATGCCAGAGGGCCCCGGTTCAGATCCCACATATGAGAGCCAATGACACTGCTCTCTACAGCTAAGATGCTGAACAACAGCTCAACCTGGAGCTGGGCTGCCACGAGTCGCCAGCGACAGCGGCGTAGGCTGCAGCCCCTGCTGCAGTGGGTTGCCATGGGCTACCATGTGTGGCCAGCAGCTGCTGTGAGCGGCCGTCCAGAAACCAGCGACTGATCTGCCTCGCCAGGGAAGAGCGCAATGATGGTGCCAACTTGGGCCAGTGAAGCAACATCCTCCACAACTAGACTAAAGAACAAACCAACAGCAATTTGTCTGTTCCCCTTCCCCCGATTCCCCAGCGCTGTTCCCATCCCCCAATTTCCCAATAAAAAAATCCTAAAAAAAAAAAAGTGGGCTAAGGACTTGAACAGATATTTCTCCAAAGAAGACATACAAATGGCCAACGGGTATATGAATAGATGCTCAGTGTCACTAATCATCAAAGAAATGCATTAAAATCACAATGAGATACCACTTTACATCTGTTTGGATGGCTATTATTTAAAAAAAAAAATTAAACGTTTGTGAGGATGTGGAGAAACTGAAACCCTCGTAGACTGTTGGTGGGAATGCAGAAAGGCTCAGCTGCTGTGGGAAACAGTTTGGAAGTTCCTCAAAAATTAAAAAAGAACTACCGTATGATCCAGCAATCCCACTTCTGGATATTTAAACAACAGACTTGAAATTAGGATTCAGAGAAATACTAACACTCCCACAGTTTTTGCAGCACTGCTCATAATAGCCAAGATGTGGGAACAACCTAAATATTCATCAGTACAGGGATGGATAGAGAAAATGTGGAATATACATACAGTGGAATATTATGCAGCCTTAAAAAGAAAATTCTGCAATATGTGACAACATGGATGAACCTTGAGGAAATTATGCTACGTCGAATAAGCCAGTCACAAGGACAAGCAGTGCATGATTCCGCTTATATGCGATACCTAACATAGTCACATCATAGAAGCAGAGAGATTTTCTTAAAAATGTAGTTTTAGTACTGCACTCTGGCTTTTATGACAGGTGTTAAGCTGTCATTCTTGAACTTGCACATGAGAATCACCAGGGAGCCTGTTGAACTGTAGCTTCCTGGCCCTGCCGCAGGGTTAGAGAAATTTCAAGCAGAGTAAGGCACAGGAATCTATTCATAACTGGCACCCAGGTGATTACCACGCTTTTGCCCCATGCTGAGCAGCTCTGGAAGGTTCGGAGTTAGTTCGAACTACAGATTTCCTAAGAAGCTCTTTGGTAGTACTGGCTGAAATTGTATAGGAGTAGAATACTTGATTAGAAAGCCATGGAAACTTGTTAAAAAACTGCTTTTAATGTTAGGAAGTGAGGAGTTTCAGTTGGTTAAGTGTGATGGGTCTGGCATGTCTAGGTTCTTGAGCAGGAGAATGACATGATAAGTCAGGATTGTTGATTGTCACATGTAATTTGATCTCCTATAACTGTGGGGGGAAAAATGGAGATTTTTGATGAGATAATTCTTTTTTACTGGTAATTGCTTTATTTCAAGGCTTTCTCAGTACCTCCTATTAATATGTTTAGAATAAACAGATTAGGCTAAAATAAGTTTCAATTAATTAAGCAGAATGTAATCTCCATGAAAGAGATGGTGTCCATTCTTACAATCTGTAGTCTCTAAAACAGTGCTTGGCACGTTGCGGCATTCAGCATTGTTTGTTGAGTGTACAAGTATGCAGAACAGTTTTTACTCTCAGGGAGTAAGTGTGCTTGAATCACTTAAATTGCCTATCAGAAGTTGTTGCAATTGACTTTACATAGAATTTATATTAAACCTATAGATTTTTCATTAAGGTTCATTTATTGTTAAAATTGTGGGAATGATAATTTATCATTTATATTCTTTCCGTGTAAATTACATTTTAAATTAATAATTGGTGTGCAAATAGAGCTCTTGCATTAAAAGCATTTTTGTTTTCCTTTTAGGAGTTAACGGAGCAGTTTCATCAAGTTGAATCTCAACTGAATAAACTAAATCATCTTCTCACTGATATTCTTGCTGATGTGAAAACAAAAAGAAAACTTTTGTCATCTAACAAATTGCATCAAATGGAAAGAGAGTTATATGTATATTTTTTAAAAGATGAACGTTACCTGAAAGATATCGTGGAGAATTTAGAAAAGCAATCAAAGATTAAAGCTGTTGGTCTCAAAGATTGAAAATTACTAAAAACTGAATTTTTCCTACATATACTTTGTCTTAATGTTTTATATATTAGGAGGAGAATATAGCAAATCAGCACTACTAGGATTTTAAATTTGAGGTCAATGGAACATTTAATGAATTCAAGTGTTATCAATTTGTTTTCTTCTTACGTAACATGTTTGTTCAGAGTACCAGTGCTTTACATGACTTGAACATTTACTTGGTGGTGCTTAGTCCTGGTAACTTTTTACTTATAGGGAAAAAGCATTACAGTTGTCCCGCCCTTATCTGCAGTTTCACTTACCCACTGTCCACCGCAGTCTGAAAATATTACATGGAAAGTTCCAGAAATAAACAATTCATAAGTTTCAAATTGCATGCCATTCTGAATAGCGTGATGAAATCTTGTGCCTATCTGCTCTGTCCTGTCCAGGACTTGGATCCTCCCTTGGTGCAGTGTCACCACACTGTGTATGGCCTGCCTGTTAGTCACTAGGTAGCCATCTTGGTTATTAGGTCCACTGTCACAGTATCGCAGTGTTTGTGTCCAAGTCACTCTTACTTTACTTAATGGCCCAAAGTGCAAGAATTGTGATGTTGGCAGTTCCAATATGCCAGAGAAACTATAAAGTGCTTCTTGTAAGTGAGACTGTATGTGTGTGCATGTGTGTGTGTCTGTGTCTGTATGTATGTAGTATGTACAGGAAAAAAGCAGTGTAGATAGGGTTCGGTACTGTGTGGCTTCAGGTGTCCACTGGGGGTCTTAGAACATATCCCCTGTAGAGAAGGGAGTTACTACTATATTATATAATGCAAATATTTTTTAATAGTTAATGTTGCTATTAATTTTTTTAGAAATGGAAGTTTTCTGCTATCTAAAAAATTTATAGAACTTTGAATCAGCATTGTTAAAGCTACAGACCTTAATATATGAAATAGCCAAGTCCCTTCATATTTGACTGTAAAGTAAAATTCTGCCCATATTCCCTCCTAATTTTCTGCTATAGCCTCTGAGACTTAATGTTCCTGTTTAGACCACAATGAATGTCAAGTCTCCGTGGCCCATTGTTCATTTTCACAGGTTGGGCCCTGGGGACTCAAAATTTCTGCCAGACACATCCCGGCAGTGCGGGACTCCAGTGGGACTTAACACGTGAATGACTTTCAAATGAAATTTCAGAATTCCATAGACGTGGTTGTTCACAGGATGTAGAATGCTATTCTAATCAGCTCCTTTGGAGTGAGAACACTTTAATGTTGGGCTATCAGTTGGGATACAAGTGTAGTATTTGGACAATTAGTAAATTGTTTTAAGAGTTGGTATAAAATAATTTGTAATAGCTTATTTATCAGTTATTACATCAAATGTTTCTTTAGTGCCTGATTTATACATGGTCTGTGTTATTTACCATGTAAGCTTTATAGAGATAAGATATATTGCTTTCAAGAACATTTTTGCTCTAAGACACATATTACTTGCTCTTAATCTCTAAAAACTACACGATAGGTGGTCTTTATGGAATTTTTCAGCTATAACCATCTGAAAATGGGTATGTTTAAGTAACATGAGCCTTGATAATTTTTATAATCCATTGGACAAAAATGTTTTGCCAATTATTGTACATTATTTAAAAGTTTATTAAGTAGGTCTTAATATGCTTGAAAATTGTGGCAAAAATTTGGTCAGATTTTGCTCTGCTCCTCATGGGTACTTTTCCTTTTTTTTTTTTTTTATTCCTATTCTACCTTGGCATAGAGAATTTACTTAAAATTTTTCTTTTCTTCAGTAATGTGGAATAAAATATGTCACCTGGTTTCCTGGCTCATGGACTAGCACATTCTGTTTAGTGCCAGATATGTTAGATGCCTGACCAGCTACTCGATGATTTGTGCTGTCCCTTCCAGACCTTCACCCACGCAGCCCAGGGGCCAGTGTGGCTGAGCAGTGCTAGCGGAAAGATGGTGGGCTGTGTGTCTGTCATGACCACGCAAGTCAGTTAAAAATAACTTTTATGTTATTTGTATGTTTGAAGATTATAACAGCTGTTTGTTTGAAACCTCAGGAAGTATTTCAATAAATTGCTTCAAAATTGGTTAACTAGAAAATATGTTCTTTACTTTGTTACCTATTTACCATAACACTCCAGTTGAGCCTCTAACGGTTGCTTTCTTACTATCCTATCTGTATTGCAGGAACAATTTATGCCTATTTCTTGTGGTTAATATAATAATTTTTATGAAAATCTCTACGTAAACATTTTCAAATAACTTGGCTCTTATTTTTAAGTCTTAAAATTAATGTATGGGCATTATGTTTCTCTTATGTTTAGGATTTATGAAAATGGAAAATTCTGAGGCATTTGTAGGCTTTGATCTCTGTAAGATACCACTTTCCAGTGTTGCTCAGAAGATTATGTCTGCTATGCATTCAGGTGATTTAGTGGAGTCTGAGAACTGGAGAGAGAGTGAAAAGAGTGAGTAATTTTTATGAACCTGTCATTTGTTACTTTGAATGTTAATAATTCTTAGGACTAATGTTTGGAAATGAAATGTAGCAGAGTTGCTCTGTAGGACTCACATTGTAGGGAAGTTCCTGCCCACAAACCATTGGAGCCCAGCTCCCACACACTGCACTTACGCAGTGCTGACTGAGCTCAGTAAATCTCACATTCTCTTAGCCCTTCATTGCTTTGAAAGTGTAACATTGTCTTCCTGTTCAGAACATTTCTGTCAGACGTTCCCTTAGAATCTGACCGGCTGCTTAACCTCAAAAGAGATGGGCTCCTTGACAGTGCCTGTGCTTCAGCCTGAGCTCTGGCGTCATTGAACTTGTACACAGTACAGTCAGCCCCCCATAGCCACGGGGTTTTGCATCTGCAGGTTCAACCAACTGCAGATCAAAAATATTAGAAAAAAAAAATCCCAGTAAGTTCCAGAAAGGAGCAAAATTCGAATTTGTCATGCGCCTAGCACTACACTGAGTCCACGCAAATGAAGTGATATGTGTGGGATACCCCGCTGTAGCCTATATGCCACTATGGGTTAGACATGAATATTCCATTTTATATAAGGGACTTTAGCATCCCTGTGGGTCCTGGAACCCACCCCCCATGGATACTGAGGATGACTATTTGCTTATTGTGTGTGAGGGCCAAGAGAATTGTTTTTGACAGTATGTGTATTACATTACACCATAGAAATTTGTCAACTCTTAGGTGGCAAAGATCAGTGGATCATGACATGTGGTGGAATAGTAAAAACAGTGATGGGCTCACAAGTGTGACTAAAGTGTTTGGAATACCTTTTTTTTTTACCATAAAAGCAGTTTTATTTTAAATTTGTAAGTCTTAGCCAATAATTTGTTTGTTTTCTACAAAGTAAGTTATAAGTGAGTGAGATATAATTGATTAATTATATTGAGATGAAATAATGGGAGAGTATTGACAAATGTAAATGCAGTTTCTTAAGATACAGCAGCACTTAGCATTTTGATCTATTTGTATTCAGGCATCTGTTGCTTGTGTGTCTTACTACAGTAGGAGTCACTTGTAAATGAACTGGTAAGAATTTTTGGGTGTGGACTACATACTTAGCAATTGATAGTGTCTTAGGGGGAATGATGGTGGTGGGGGATAGTAAAGAAAGATAAATATTTAAACATCAAAGAACTTTCTCCTTTGTTCAGTATACTTGGCTTTCTAAAGAAAAAGAGCAGTATGCACTTGACAGGTGGAAATATACTTCCCTTCTAAAACTGATATGAATAATGAAATGGTTCTGGTAGTATAATGTGAGTGAGTCTCTGTTGAGCAAAATTTCTGGCAGTGAGCCCATCCTGTGAACACTTGTCATGTTCTTAAAGTACCCTGTTAAAAACACACGTTTTCCGAAATGTATTGAGAAGATAATGGAAAAAAGATAAGGTATTTTCTGTCAGGTGTTTTGGATTTGGAAAAATAGTGGATTTTCACAAGGACTCTGTATTTGCTGTTACATATATAACACCAGAACTGCAAACTTAGTGACTGACAACAACACACATTTGTTATCTCACGGTTTCTGTGGGTCAGGAGCCTGGACACAGTGTTGCCAGATCCTCTGTGGGGCTACAGTGCAGATCTCAGCCAGGGCTGGGGTCTCACCTGAAGCTCGAAAGGGAAAACACTGGCTTCCAAGCTCCCATGGTTCTTGGTGGAACTCAGTTCCTTTCTCCGGTTCTCTCCATAAGGCAGCTTTTCATTATATAGCAGCTTTTTCAAAGCCAGCAAGAGTGTCCCTGGCAAGACTGACACGACAGTCTCATGTAGCATAATCACAAACATCCTATCACCTTTGTTATATTCTGTTAGTTAGAAGTGAGTCAAAAAGTCCCACCTACACTCAAGGGGGGGAGTCAGGGGTCATGGGGCCACCTTAGAGTCTGCCATAGGGCCCCACCAGTTTTATTCTTATTTCATAGAATTTGGATTAAAGTTGGATTGCTGGTGGGTTACTGATGAAGCTGGACCTAGGACCTAGTGATTCCTGGACTCTTGTCAAATGCTGCGCTGTGAAGTCAAATCCTTGTGTCTTAAAAGTTAATTACTGTAGGGCCGGCCAACTGGCTCAGTTGGTTAAGAGTGCGAGCTCTGAGCAACAGGGTCACTGGTTCGATTCCCACATGGGCCAGTGAGCTGCACCCGAGCTGAGCTGCTGCTGAGCTGCCAACAAGTGGCAGGATGGCTCAGCTGGTGAGAGCGCGTGTTCTTAACAACAAGGTTGCCAGTTCAACTCCCACATGGAATGGTGGGCTATGCCCACCCACAACTAAGATTGAACACGGCACCTTGAGCTGATCTGCCCTGAGCTGCCGACAGGTGGCCGGATGGCCACTGGACTTGGAGCTGAGCTAGCTGCGCCCTCCACAACTAAGACTGAAGGACAACAACTTGGCTGTTCCCCTTCCCCAACTCCCCAACACTGTTCCCCTTCCCCAGTTCCCCAAATAAAACCTTCTATAAATAAATAAATCAATGTAAAATACGGTAAATCAGCATTTTATTTCTGAAAGCCCATTTCATACCCAATGAACATCAAAACTGAACTCAGAAATCAGTGGAAATAAACTACAACTATTTGCTTTTACAAACACTACATTATCAATGTTATATGTCACCTTGGGGTCTAATTTTCTGATCTGCCAGACTGAGCTATCTTGAGATACACAGCCAGTAAGGATTGGACTGTAGAGTATCTTGCAGCAGTATTGATCTTTTATTTAAAAACCTTTTGCTGTGAAAACACTAAAAACCCAGCTTAGTGAATTAATAAAATGAAGACATCCATGTGACTACCATTCACATCGCCAACACCTCAAAATTTCCTTCTGAGTAAAACCCTCCTTGCTCAGAGGTAACTTACGATGACCACTTCTCACTTCCCGGTCACGGGCGTTTTGTGTTGCTCCAAAGGCCTTTTTGGCAGATTACCCATCTGCCACCCCAGAGTCCATCCTTCCTGCTGAGGCACACTATCAGACGACACGGCTCCTGTCAGTGGGGCACGCGCTGAGGTGGCATCTGCTGTGTCCAGTGTGGGCCCAGAGACGGCCCAGTTTGCTTCCTAGCTGGTCTCGTGCCTTCCACGCAGCCGCTGCCTGAAGTGTCTCTCTTCTAACCCTGCAAATGCTAACTGTCCTGGAGGATCGTGGGCCCCCGAGGGACTGCTGAGACAGCTGCACCACCGGCAAAGCCACTCACCTCAATGTGACGGAAATAAACTTGACTTTTTGTTCTTTGAGCCCCTGTGTTGTGTTGTTGGGTCTTTTGTGACCAGTAGTTTAGCTTTCTACCTTAAATCATACACCTTTAAACTAGATTCTGGATTAAGTTCATCAGAATTGAGTTTTCATTGTCATTTTGTTGTTCAGTAATTCCGCTGATAGTCTGGTAAATACTGAGGGAAGAGGAGTTTTCAGGGTGAGTTCAAGGTTGTCAGCTGTCCTGGTGCTGTGATAGGATTACGCATATAATTAAGCACATGCTTGTTAGAACATACCTGTTTTGTTTGAGTACCTACAGAAATCAAATAATGTTTGCTAATACACACTTATCCATATTCTTTTATTTTAACTTGGTAGAGCTTAGAGGTGAATATGGTGTCCAGCAAAACAAAAATATTTTTACAAACATTACAAATTACAAGTTTGAAACCATGAAAGGTAGATAACTTGTTAAAATTCATTCAAGTGAAGTGTGTCTTTATTCCCATCATCTCGTGGAAATCTTTGTAGTTTCAAGGACAGATAACTAAATGACAGAATAGATCTATTTTGATCATCTTCATTCTAGTCAAAAAGAGGATATGGTTGAACATTTTCTGTTATTTTTATTTCTGCCCAATAAACGTAAGGCCCTTATGTCCCATCACAGCAAACCCTGCTAGGGGCTGGACTTTAGGCCCCTCCTCACTCGGGCCTGCCTTGCCTCTCGCCTGACTCTCCCAGTAGTTCCCTGACTGCTGTCACCTTCAGTTTATTGCCACTTGGTCTTGCTTTCCTAGAATGAGCTCAGCTCTTGTCCTTGCTCGCTGCACAATTTCTCTGTAGAAACATCCCCGTGAATTCCTGCCTGGCCCCTCCCTGCCTGTGCTTATAGCCTCACATCCCTCCACTTACCCTCTTCCTTTGTCCCCCATTCAGATTGGACTGTCACTTCCAGACAGACCCGTGACCTTTTCTGACTGTCTGCTTTCTACCCGTTTCTCTCCTTCACTCGCAACTATTAGTGGTGGTGAAATTCACATTTTACCAGCTTCTCAAATACACTCCTTCCATGACCAGAATGCCTTGCTGGAAGTATGCTGCATTTGGGTCCTTTGCAGCTCAGTTGCAAGAACTTCCCGAGAAGTGTTTGGGCGCTTTAACTGTCGCTATGCTTTGAGCTCTTTGAAGGCTGGGTAAGGTGTTCTCCATGTGCTCCCGCAGCGGGGCTGATCTGTGAAGTCAGCTCTTACTGATTATTTTCTTCAGCGTTCTTTTTGAGGGAGGGTCATTGTAATACTTCAGGAAAAGGTTTCTTTCCTTTGAAAACAAAAACTTAAAGGCTCCAATTCCA